ATTCGATTCCATTGATCTATGTGTCTGTCATTGTACCAGTACCATGCTGTCTTTACCACTACGGCAGTGTAGTAGGATTTGAAATCAGGGAGAGACACAGCTATTTGTGATAGAACAATCCAGATGGATCATCCTTTCCTTGATTAGAAAGAAGCAAACTAAGCATGTGTGCTTTTTTTTTGTGAATCTCTGTTGACGTTTTGGAGTTCTGGTGTAGTTTGTGTGTGTGTGTATGTATGTATGTCTCTCACTCGCTATAATACTTGGCTTTGATACAGAGTGAGGTCATGTTATCAAGGGCTTAAGCAGCATCCCATTTATTGTGGCTATGCATTAAATTACCCTGTAGTCAGTGATGGAAGGAGAGGAAGGCTGTAATCAGCTTCTTGAAGGGTATGTTCCGTCCCCAACAGCACCCTCTGGTGGTAAGAAGGCAACATCGTAGCCTCCTTGGCAGTCTGAGAAACCCTATTATAAATTTAGTCTGTGATTAGGTATTATTGTCATGACATGAGTCCAAAACGAAGGCTGCATAGTGGAGTGGACTTGGGGGGAGGGATTGTATAACAATGAAAGAATTTTTCTTTTACTTTTCAAAGAGAAGAACGAACTGGAGGAGAGGAGTGGGCAGGGAGAAAAGTGCAACAACGAAAGACGGAAATCCAAAATCTCTGTAAATTTTCATTAAAATTAGTAACAATAATTAAAAAAAGAAAAAATTCAGTTTAGATCTAGATTTCTAAATCTTTTCTAAATATTGTACGTCACTCTCTTTTGATCTTGTATTCTTTCTTCTTCCCTCTGATTTTTTTTTTTTTAAATTTTTGTGGGAGTGTACCATCAAATCAGATCTGACTGGTACAGGAGGAGATTGTCCCTCCTTCCCCGGCAGAGCATCTGGTGGATTCGAACTGTGCACCTCTGGGATTGTAGTTGCAGCTCCTTGCCACTAGGCCACCAGAGGTCCCCTCCCTCTGAAATTCTTAAATCTCCTCAGGTCAGCGGACTCGTCTCTGTCTTGATAACCCCTGCTTTAGCTCTCCTCTCCAGCTTTTGCTGAAACTTGCCCCGGTGACTGTTGTAGCTCAGTAGCCTGGTTGTTGTGGGGCTTTGAGTCAGAACCAACTCATAGCTGACCCTCCAGTGGGTGTTCAGAGTCTGTAAATCACAAGAGAGGATATTGCTCATCTTGTTCTCTTGGAACAGCTGGTGGATTTGAACCTTCTGCCTTTGGATTGGCACTGGAATCCAAATCAGGCCACCAGAGCTCCCTCAGCATCCTTAGCTGGTTTTTCTCCATCATGAAGGGCTTCAGTGTCCCCCCTGCTTTGGAGCCAGGGGTTAGGATGACAGTAAATGAAGTCCAGGCACGTCTAGAGTAGACTAAACGATTAATATCACCAAACAACTGGGAGTCCTTGCTTTTCTCCCAGGGAAAGCAAAGCTTACCCCTGAAGGACACCAGCAGAGCACTGTTGGTGCTGATGAATGATAGGGATGAAGCTGGACAAATGAGCTGTCAAGGACATATGGGGAAAGGAGGTCACCCTGCGGGGAGCACTCCTGGAGGAGGAACCTGAGCTGCCCTGGCGCAATGGGTGAGCTGCAGACTGGAGGACATTCCAGGAAGGGAGGACTGACAGATGGAAGCATCGACTGGGCTAGGGAAACGGGAAGAGATAAGGCCAAAGGCTTTGAACAGCCCATGAAATAGTGAAATAGTGGAGTAGAGGGGCAGGACTAATTGGTTGCTCAGAGCTGAACAAGAGAACTTGGCTCAGCAGGCAGAGGAAGCCGCGTTTCTAGCACTGATGTAATGTTCCCTCCGCAAGCCCATTCCGCCCGGCGTGTATGGCAGCATATGGAACACATACCCCTGTCAGCAGCCTCTGGACGGCCAGCGGGGCTCAAACAGCCCCCGTCATCGCGTGCAGCTGCTGCCGTGCTGTGCTGGGCAGCAGACACACAGGAGGGTCTGTTTTCTTTATTCAGTTCCGCACGTGGTTCTGTTAGACTCCCTCTTCTCTTCCCTCCTCCTTCCTTCAGTCTCACAACATCCTTAAAATAATTGCTATTTTCCTTATCACTTTCCTCTCTGCTTGCTACGGAGTCTTGGTGACATAATGGTAAAAAATGCTTGGCTGCTGAACTCCAGGCTGGCAGTTTGGGCCCACAGGGAAAGCTGTGGCAGGCTGCCTCCCTGTGGATTTACAGCTGTGGAAACCCTGTGGGCAGTTCTCCCCGCCCCTACAGGCCCCTATGGGTTGGAATGGACTCCACAATAGTGGGGCTTTTCTTTCCTTCTTCTTCTTTCTCCTTCCATAACTCCCATCTGCCTTTTCCTGTTCTTGGCATGACTTTGCCCCCTGCTTCTCTGGTGTCTGGATTTTGCCTTCCCCT